GTTCGAGTCCCAGAGTGAACATCAACTCTGAGATGCAGGTACATCCAGCTGACGAGTCCCAAATAGGACGAAACGCGCGTCCTGGATTCCACTGCTAGCCACTATCCATCTCTGCTTACCATGCTTGTGAATTAAGGTATATCGAGGCAATACGCACAGTATGCACATATGCCAATTAGAGACTGACCAGTTGCAGTCCTAAACACATCGATGGGAAGATCCAAACAAACAATACTAAGTGAATTCAAACTTCACCCCATCGCACAAGCAAGTGGCTATCAGGACTGAGTGGCCGAGTGGATAACGCGATGGCGTTTGAAGCGAGGGTACTGGGTTCGAGTCCCAGAGTGAACATCAACTCTGAGATGCAGGTACATCCAGCTGACGAGTCCCAAATAGGACGAAACGCGCGTCCTGGATTCCACTGCTAGCCACTATCCATCTCTGCTTACCATGCTTGTGAATTAAGGTATATCGAGGCAATACGCACAGTATGCACATATGCCAATTAGAGACTGACCAGTTGCAGTCCTAAACACATCGATGGGAAGATCCAAACAAACAATACTAAGTGAATTCAAACTTCACCCCATCGCACAAGCAAGTGGCTATGAGGACTCAGTGGCCGAGTGGATAACGCGATGGCGTTTGAAGCGAGGGTACTGGGTTCGAGTCCCAGAGTGAACATCAACTCTGAGATGCAGGTACATCCAGCTGACGAGTCCCAAATAGGACGAAACGCGCGTCCTGGATTCCACTGCTAGCCACTATCCATCTCTGCTTACCATGCTTGTGAATTAAGGTATATCGAGGCAATACGCACAGTATGCACATATGCCAATTAGAGACTGACCAGTTGCAGTCCTAAACACATCGATGGGAAGATCCAAACAAACAATACTAAGTGAATTCAAACTTCACCCCATCGCACAAGCAAGTGGCTATGAGGACTCAGTGGCCGAGTGGATAACGCGATGGCGTTTGAAGCGAGGGTACTGGGTTCGAGTCCCAGAGTGAACATCAACTCTGAGATGCAGGTACATCCAGCTGACGAGTCCCAAATAGGACGAAACGCGCGTCCTGGATTCCACTGCTAGCCACTATCCATCTCTGCTTACCATGCTTGTGAATTAAGGTATATCGAGGCAATACGCACAGTATGCACATATGCCAATTAGAGACTGACCAGTTGCAGTCCTAAACACATCGATGGGAAGATCCAAACAAACAATACTAAGTGAATTCAAACTTCACCCCATCGCACAAGCAAGTGGCTATCAGGACTCAGTGGCCGAGTGGATAACGCGATGGCGTTTGAAGCGAGGGTACTGGGTTCGAGTCCCAGAGTGAACATCAACTCTGAGATGCAGGTACATCCAGCTGACGAGTCCCAAATAGGACGAAACGCGCGTCCTGGATTCCACTGCTAGCCACTATCCATCTCTGCTTACCATGCTTGTGAATTAAGGTATATCGAGGCAATACGCACAGTATGCACATATGCCAATTAGAGACTGACCAGTTGCAGTCCTAAACACATCGATGGGAAGATCCAAACAAACAATACTAAGTGAATTCAAACTTCACCCCATCGCACAAGCAAGTGGCTATCAGGACTGAGTGGCCGAGTGGATAACGCGATGGCGTTTGAAGCGAGGGTACTGGGTTCGAGTCCCAGAGTGAACATCAACTCTGAGATGCAGGTACATCCAGCTGACGAGTCCCAAATAGGACGAAACGCGCGTCCTGGATTCCACTGCTAGCCACTATCCATCTCTGCTTACCATGCTTGTGAATTAAGGTATATCGAGGCAATACGCACAGTATGCACATATGCCAATTAGAGACTGACCAGTTGCAGTCCTAAACACATCGATGGGAAGATCCAAACAAACAATACTAAGTGAATTCAAACTTCACCCCATCGCACAAGCAAGTGGCTATCAGGACTCAGTGGCCGAGTGGATAACGCGATGGCGTTTGAAGCGAGGGTACTGGGTTCGAGTCCCAGAGTGAACATCAACTCTGAGATGCAGGTACATCCAGCTGACGAGTCCCAAATAGGACGAAACGCGCGTCCTGGATTCCACTGCTAGCCACTATCCATCTCTGCTTACCATGCTTGTGAATTAAGGTATATCGAGGCAATACGCACAGTATGCACATATGCCAATTAGAGACTGACCAGTTGCAGTCCTAAACACATCGATGGGAAGATCCAAACAAACAATACTAAGTGAATTCAAACTTCACCCCATCGCACAAGCAAGTGGCTATCAGGACTCAGTGGCCGAGTGGATAACGCGATGGCGTTTGAAGCGAGGGTACTGGGTTCGAGTCTCAGAGTGAACATCAACTCTGAGATGCAGGTACATCCAGCTGACGAGTCCCAAATAGGACGAAACGCGCGTCCTGGATTCCACTGCTAGCCACTATCCATCTCTGCTTACCATGCTTGTGAATTAAGGTATATCGAGGCAATACGCACAGTATGCACATATGCCAATTAGAGACTGACCAGTTGCAGTCCTAAACACATCGATGGGAAGATCCAAACAAACAATACTAAGTGAATTCAAACTTCACCCCATCGCACAAGCAAGTGGCTATCAGGACTCAGTGGCCGAGTGGATAACGCGATGGCGTTTGAAGCGAGGGTACTGGGTTCGAGTCCCAGAGTGAACATCAACTCTGAGATGCAGGTACATCCAGCTGACGAGTCCCAAATAGGACGAAACGCGCGTCCTGGATTCCACTGCTAGCCACTATCCATCTCTGCTTACCATGCTTGTGAATTAAGGTATATCGAGGCAATACGCACAGTATGCACATATGCCAATTAGAGACTGACCAGTTGCAGTCCTAAACACATCGATGGGAAGATCCAAACAAACAATACTAAGTGAATTCAAACTTCACCCCATCGCACAAGCAAGTGGCTATCAGGACTCAGTGGCCGAGTGGATAACGCGATGGCGTTTGAAGCGAGGGTACTGGGTTCGAGTCCCAGAGTGAACATCAACTCTGAGATGCAGGTACATCCAGCTGACGAGTCCCAAATAGGACGAAACGCGCGTCCTGGATTCCACTGCTAGCCACTATCCATCTCTGCTTACCATGCTTGTGAATTAAGGTATATCGAGGCAATACGCACAGTATGCACATATGCCAATTAGAGACTGACCAGTTGCAGTCCTAAACACATCGATGGGAAGATCCAAACAAACAATACTAAGTGAATTCAAACTTCACCCCATCGCACAAGCAAGTGGCTATCAGGACTCAGTGGCCGAGTGGATAACGCGATGGCGTTTGAAGCGAGGGTACTGGGTTCGAGTCCCAGAGTGAACATCAACTCTGAGATGCAGGTACATCCAGCTGACGAGTCCCAAATAGGACGAAACGCGCGTCCTGGATTCCACTGCTAGCCACTATCCATCTCTGCTTACCATGCTTGTGAATTAAGGTATATCGAGGCAATACGCACAGTATGCACATATGCCAATTAGAGACTGACCAGTTGCAGTCCTAAACACATCGATGGGAAGATCCAAACAAACAATACTAAGTGAATTCAAACTTCACCCCATCGCACAAGCAAGTGGCTATCAGGACTCAGTGGCCGAGTGGATAACGCGATGGCGTTTGAAGCGAGGGTACTGGGTTCGAGTCCCAGAGTGAACATCAACTCTGAGATGCAGGTACATCCAGCTGACGAGTCCCAAATAGGACGAAACGCGCGTCCTGGATTCCACTGCTAGCCACTATCCATCTCTGCTTACCATGCTTGTGAATTAAGGTATATCGAGGCAATACGCACAGTATGCACATATGCCAATTAGAGACTGACCAGTTGCAGTCCTAAACACATCGATGGGAAGATCCAAACAAACAATACTAAGTGAATTCAAACTTCACCCCATCGCACAAGCAAGTGGCTATCAGGACTCAGTGGCCGAGTGGATAACGCGATGGCGTTTGAAGCGAGGGTACTGGGTTCGAGTCCCAGAGTGAACATCAACTCTGAGATGCAGGTACATCCAGCTGACGAGTCCCAAATAGGACGAAACGCGCGTCCTGGATTCCACTGCTAGCCACTATCCATCTCTGCTTACCATGCTTGTGAATTAAGGTATATCGAGGCAATACGCACAGTATGCACATACGCCAATTAGAGACTGACCAGTTGCAGTCCTAAACACATCGATGGGAAGATCCAAACAAACAATACTAAGTGAATTCAAACTTCACCCCATCGCACAAGCAAGTGGCTATCAGGACTCAGTGGCCGAGTGGATAACGCGATGGCGTTTGAAGCGAGGGTACTGGGTTCGAGTCCCAGAGTGAACATCAACTCTGAGATGCAGGTACATCCAGCTGACGAGTCCCAAATAGGACGAAACGCGCGTCCTGGACTCCACTGCTAGCCACTATCCATCTCTGCTTACCAATTAGTACTTTGTTGTACATTTACGTTTTTCGCTTAATTAAACTCGATACGAAATTGAAGATTCAGCTCGTCTATTTCCACACTGGGAACTCCGGTCTAAGACAAATATGAACCCTTGGCTTCTTGCATTAATTCCAAACGTTAAGTCACGACCAAATTTTTACTACATATGGCATTAAGCAGTAGTCTATAGTCATCATTGACACTAAACAGTAGAACCAAATAAACACTGTATTGTATATACTTGGGACTTCTAACTGGATAATCACACTTAATATTGTTTTATACCTGTGATTATCCCACTGTAATTTTGTAGAACTATTTTGGCGAACAGAAAGAGCACAGTATTATTCTTTCGACATCTCAACCATAAAGATATGATGAATACTAAAACAGGTAATTAGTTATCATAATGACTAAAAAAATCTGACAGCTTAACTAAATACTATTGCTACCGAAAATTCCACAGAAATATTAGCCTATCAAAGTATATCCCATCACGAAGAGGTGCAATTTAGATAACAAGCTAATTTGAACAAAACTAACGATTAACTGATAAAACAATAAGTGATATTTGGAATAATACTTATGCAACATATAAATATTTATGCATAAGAACTTGTAGAAATCAAAAATCAGAAACACAATAAGATGTATACACACCAGAGTAATGTTTGGTGATGTACAATCGTAACAAAGAAAAATTGCAATAATACTTTAATAAATAATGAAACTGACATGAAAACTAACTTATAAATACACATGCTTATTTGTAAGTAGTATATTTAATTCTTATCAAATAAAATATCCTTCATACAATAATTTCACACAGAAAGAAAGAAACATGTGGGCATAATTTGAAAGGATGAAGAATAAATTATGGAAAATGAAATGAGGGTACCGAGAAAAAAAATGAGCAAACTTATTAGATTTAATAATAATACTTATGTGTTGATATTACTGGAAGTTTAAAACATAAATGATTATCGTAGTAAACTAAAACAGCATCCATTTATAATAGGTTCAGTAAAGTAAAAGCAAACATTATATATGTACTACTAAAATTATATTTATACATTATTGTGTCAAATGCAAGAATTTTTTATGTAATTCATGTTAATGCTGTAGCTGGCATAGTATTTGTATTCGGTGGATTAGGAAATGTTAAATTTAAAGAAGTTGGACAAAATTCACCACCATTTATTTTAGACATACCAATATTTGAATTCGTTAAAAAGTGTTCAACAGATACAGCGGCAGCTGCGGCCGCCGCTGCAGGATGTATAACTGCTTGTGTATGTGGGTCGAGAAAAGCACAACCCTCGCACTTTGTTTTTCCGCAATCTCCAACATTACCAAGAAGACTAAATGTATTGTTGTTGTTAGTGCTGGTAATAGGTGTACACCGCTGACTACGTTTTTTATGTGCGCTATAACTACTATTATCAGAAAATGATCTGCCGCAAAATTCGCAACGATACGGTCTTTCACCGGTATGTATTCGTCTATGTTTTACAAGACTACTTGATACGGAAAAACTTTTGCCACAATCACAGCAATGATATGGACGTTCTCCAGTATGTATTCGTTTATGCGCAGATAGACTACTTGAATCAGCAAATGCTCGACCACACTGCATACAAGCGAATGGTTTTTCACCTGTATGAGTACGACGATGTTTAACTAGATCACTAGCACGATGAAATGATTTCGAACAATCTGTACAATGATGACGTTTTACACGTTCATTAGAATTAGTTGAGTGACGTACGGTTACACATTGATTTGATTGGATATTATTGTTAGAAGTAGTAGCAGTAATTGTATTATTCCCATTATTAGTAGGTATTATACCAGGATTAATACTGTCATTATTACTGGTAACAATCTGCTGTATATGCATAACTTCATCCTTAGAGTTACCTAAATTACTCCTGAATGACAGTTGTCCACAATTCAGAATTGAGTGAATCTTCTTTTCAGCCTGGTGAGATAAAGTTGCACGAGCACAAAGCGCGAGATGGTTAAAGTCATCAGCTAAAGGGACGCGACTAAACATTTATTTATGTTTCAGAGTGAGAAACTTCTAATTGGTAAAAATATTGACACAATAAAACTGATATGGAACGAAGTGGTCAATCAAATGAAGGTAGTATGCACGAGCATTTGTTAAAAAACCTACAAAAAACAAGAATGTTATTCATTAAACAACTAAGTAGCAGCTTAGACTTTGAATTTAAATCCAGTTTCACTAAACAAATTACAATTTTTAAGTAGATTAAAAAACCGATGAATTGACGTGAAATATAAGTTTAAATACTTATTAGTGTCATCCGTTTGCAAATAACAATTACAAATAAAGACGAATGGGAGGTTGTGGAAGAAATCACTGCACTAAAATTATAGTGACACAAGTATATATTGACTTGTATGGTGTTTTGATTACCTTAATTTTGAAATGTTTACAATGACCCAGTGAGCCTCATGCTTTATCCACAAAGCATTGATATGGAAGTAATAATACCAAGACACTCCTTTTACTTGTGAAAATTAAGTACTCCTTAAACATTATCGATTGTACTGATTCACAACTACTGGGTTTCGGGTAATTGAATCCCTAAAAACCTCTAAAAATATATACAATAAAATTCCTTAAACATGTTGTTCGTAAAGTACAAATACTTCAGGTCCGTCAGCGGAAGGAACTAGGCGTGTATGAAATAAAATTTAGTCAGCGACTAAATGAAACAAAATATACCTGAGGATATTTCCAAAGTTAGTTAACTATTTATTCATAAACCATTTATAATGACACAACCATAAAAAAGAACTTGAATATGTTTCACAGATGTTTTATAGAATTCCACGCTACATATTATTTTTTGTCTTAGTAATGGGTGGAAAAAGTGGAGGCCATCAATTTACGGCAAGGAGCAGTAGGATAAAAGATAACTGTATCGGTTCATCAAGACTCCAGAGATAAGATCCCAATGCTCATGCAACTCAGTTGGTTTAAACGTTATCAGAAATGTTCCAGAACAGAAGCTAGTGGTGATCCTGGTTCGTTAGTCAGTCATAATTAACATAGTCTCAGATAAAGGTGCGTCAAAACAGGTTTAAGTATCACATAAGCATAAGATAAAATTGACAAGACGATTCTGCAGTAGGATTTTCTACCGTTCTTTATAAAGACAAGAGTTGCCTTTAAAAATAAGAGTTCACCCTGACATTAAAAATGAGATTTAAATTCATAAAAATCACAGCGACCAAGACAATAACCTCAACGCTCCCCACGATAGTTCAGTTCAATCAACTTCAAAGTCTACTTCGACAGTCTTTAACTGAACTGTATCTGTAAACAACACTGCTTTTGTCTATTTATGTAACAATTATACGGTTTCCCTTTATATAAACTTCTTAGTGTTGTCATTTTATTCACCCTGGTGCATATTTTGTATTCCATTACACCAAATTTCTTTTGCTAAAAACTTAAAGTTTTAAATTCCAACCATCCTAGTTTGTAGAAAAACATTGGCTGGAACGTTGGTACTAAGATGAACACTGGGTTGAATCTCGTAAGCCTACAAATCAATACTTGTAGCGCTGCGGTGAACCGCATTAATTGTAAGTATTTTGATCTATTTTCCCGTGACGACAAACGCTTGTTGAACTTTAAGGAGAACTTAGGATTATGTGGCAAACTCTACTCCCAAATAAGCAATTACAAAGGATTTTTAAGGTTTATTTTACCCATCTGCCAGCTATGGGAATTATGTTGATTAAAAATATTTGACTGTCATATCCTACAATTCATGACAGTGGGATAACAATGAGACTAAAGTACCTAGGTGTGGATAGTAGTTGCCAGACGACCCGAGAAACTGCAGGTAGGGACTAAACGAAAAGAGGGGAAAAACAAAGGTCCAGGGGACAGGTTCTTATTTGAGTTGAACGATACTTAAATTGGTAATGCAGCTTGCGATCTTTTGAGACAATTTGCCTAAAAAAGGACCAGCCATCACAGTTAGGCTCACCTTAAAATTGTCGGGGTTATTCTAACCAATGCAAAAATTTACATAATTATTTACGAACGACTTAAAAATCGATTTTCTGAAGAGTAATCACTATTTGGAAATAACTAAGGGAGTTGTCAGAAAGGACTTGTAGTTAGAAACCGCAAACAGTACATAAAGAGCACACGAATTTGTCTTATAAGAATGAAACTTCTTACTAACTCATCGATCCAAGTTCATTTCGTTATGCAAATCTTAGTACTAATATTAATTACCTGGTTGAACACAATCGGATACGTCTCCCTCAAAGTCCGAATCTAGGCGCGTAGGCAGTAAGTTAGAGATCAAGTAAGTCACGAGTCCGATTGAGTTAATTTTTAAGATTTGATAGACTGTATGCTGTACTGCGGAATATGTCTTCGGCCAATTTCAGATTTGAGTCCCAATACGAGGCAGCTACTGCCGAAGTCTGGTGGGTGTGAACATCCGCATTATTGCGGACTATCAAGTCAGCAGTTCTCTTTGTCATCTGAGGAACTAGGAACGTTGGACGATTGTCTTCAACAAGAAGACATAAAGGACAAATTTGTAAGTCAACAAAATTAATGGGATCATATGTTTGTATTGCAGATGGCCATGTTGACGCGGTTAGTGGATGATAACCCTAAAACGTTTATGCGCTATATTTTGTCATGACACCCGAGGTTGCCAGCCATTTCATACTACTTGGCACTTCGTTGAAAAGAGTACTTTAGAAGTGCAGGCTTTACGGCTGCATAAGAAGTAAGATATGTTCTTTTTAAAAGCTTCAGGCGTATTAACTAATCGGTTTGTCATCATCCGTCAACGGAAAAGACCTTGCTAAACTGTAGGCCATCGCGACGCAAGGATGTTTTCACGACATGTTACAAAATACAAAGGCGTCATCGAAGAAAACAAGGACATATATGTACTGATTTGAAGTGATAGCTACTCCCTACTGTTCTATAGGCAAAATGTTCAGTGTTAACGAACATAACCGTAAGTAAAACTTCACCAATTCAGTTGCTTAAAAAAATAGCAGTTAGATATTGTTGTGATTGTTCGTGTTCATTAAACTTTAGAACTCATAAGATTACTTCGCTTCTCAATAGTCTAGCAGGCGTTACAAAAAGGCATTACCAGTGGAATATTTATCATGTTCAACTTTGCTTTCAATAAACAATTTTTCAAACATGCGCTTATTTTCTAGCTTGCATTAGAAACTCTTTGAGTGAGTTTTGAGAAAGCCTGTTTGATTTTAAGTGCGCTAGAAATTAAGTACACGTGCCAAAATAATAACATATGACCTGTTTTTTTCTCTTGTAGATCTTTTCAAATTGCAATAAGATATGGTAATTACGATTAAAATAAATAACGACTGATTATCTAGCATCTGTCAACTACTCATAATGCCCCTAAATGCCATGGTACGGCCGAGAGTTTAAAGAGTCATCCCTCCCTATCGAAATGCTCTCGCATGGCCACGCATATACAGCCACTGCCTGAGAAGTCCTACTCACTGCCTTCTCACAAACAGGGGGTTGATTATGAAGTTGAGAGGACAAAAACAAATGTCAGGCGCTTTAACCGGGTTGGTGGATAAGGAGGATCCACTTGGGGGAGTTGGAAAACCCTGATTCCAAACCAATGGTGCACATGGGCTCCAGAATCCTGAAAGAAAAAATAGCGTATGAACCAATTATTGGCCACCGGCTACCATGGGACTGCATCTCCTTAAGATGCTCCACTGCCTTGTGGGTGAAACCTTTAGGTCAAAGGCTCCGGGTGTGGGCACCTAAGGAAACCATCCGCTTCAGTCTGGGCACCTGGGCAGTATCACATCCCACACACAAATCGAATGACTTATCTAGTGCACATGTATTCGGTCTCCCATAGTACCAATATTTGTATGTTCAAATAAATAATTTTTTTCTCTTCAACAAATTTCGCTGAACATGTATCATTTTTAACTTCGAATGCAGTTGTTGTGTGGTGTTTTATGGAAATGAAGGCGAAAACAGAATACATTTGGAGTTAGACCAAACGTGTATTGAAAACTGAAGCAAATCTAGATAAACCGGCGTGTATTTAAGCGATAAGTAGACAATTCAGAAACATCTAATAAACAGAGAGACATAAAGGGAAATTCCGAATTATTTTTTACTATGGGCGAAAAAACAGAGATTTAGGAGCGTTTACCCTTTATTTTCCCCCTTTGTTCGCCTTTATTTACCCTTTATTCGTAGCTTGGAGTGCTTAATATTACCAGTATTTCCCTCGAATAATGAAAACAAGAGACTGCTAACATTTATCATACAATACAAAATTTACACCTTTGACATTAAAGTTGATAGCTTAATATCAGTGAAACACAGGGAGTTACCTACAAGGTTACGCCAAATGCAAATTCGGAGCCTGAATACTTTAAGTATTGATGGCGAACTCCAATATTCAATCTATTATCATGAAGCTACTGTGAAACAAATGAAGGAAACATAAGAAAACGGCACCAGGAAATAGAGTAATTCGTAACAAGTAGTATCAGGTTTTACGACCAGAGCATCAAGTTGTCATTAGTTTTATGCCGAATGAATAAACAAAGCGCATAAAATGGGGCGAAAAGTTTACGGATAATAAATATTCATGTGTACCGTCGCACATCAGGAACTCCATAATATTTGAGGGTATAGGGATAAGTGCCACCGTTCGGTAGCTGGAATGTTTACTGAGTCGACCTCCTTTGAAATTAAATGTGATGTGAGCCAGCTTCCGAATTACCGGTTATATGCATCTGCTTAGCAAATGTGAGAACAGCACACAAAGCGGTGTTGCCAAGGGTGAAACTGCTTCACTCAGTTCAGCAGAATGGACCATATCCGGACCATGAGAAGTGTCTTTTTTAGGTTATTGAGTTTCCTGAACACCAAGTTAGCACTCAGTTTAATTTCGGAAATTCCTGTGCGGTTGCAGATGAAGCTTTCATCATTGTAGTTAGTGTGGGTCGGTTTAAATGTTCGAGAAAACTGTTCAGCCAGAAGGTTAGCTGCGTCATCTTCTTTGTTAGCAGTTGGGAAACTCTAGTTCTGGCTTGTCGAAGAAAGGCTGAATGACGGAATAAGGTTTTCGGTTCGGAGATAAATTTATCGATAAGCTTTATCTGGTACTGAAACCCGTCCTCTCTTATTGCCTTTGTACATATGTTCCTTACATGCTTGTATTGCCTGTACGCGCCGTTGTTACCAGTTCGTTTGTATTCCGCCCAGCACTGCCTTTCGCGGTCTAGTAAACGAAGAGTGCAGTTCTTGATGATTGTAGATTGCTGGTAGACTTTGTGAACCGTTAGTGGAAAAGACTGCTTTGTAGCACGTAAGACTGTGTAAATTAAGAAATTCCAGTGGGCATTTACATCAAGATAAGAGTGAACTTCCCATTCTACCTGCTGCCGATGGCCTTGTAAAGTTGACACATCCAACCTTATGAAATTCCAGTGCCTGTAGTCGGTAGGATGTTTTAGCTCATTTTTGCTGATAAAACTGAAAGCTATGACGGTGTGATATCTTTTCCCCAGGCGAGCCAGGATTGAGAGGTTGTTCACTAAGAATTATCGTTTGTAAATATGCAGTCTAAGAGCGACAGAGTCTAACTGTTTTTTTCAATGAGTTGCCGACTTCACATTTTCTAATAATTCCAGACCCTCAATGAGGTTGAATAACAGAGTTTTAGTAGAGTTTTCACCTCCGATGTACGCATGCTCCGCGAAATCGGATTTAGGAAGATTGAATTCCCCTAGAACTAGGATATGAGTTGATCTGAGATTCGTAGAGCTGATTAATCCTCCCAGCATATGATTTTAATACTCGATATCAGCAGTGGACTTCCTGTAGATGACCCCAACTAGGCACTACGTGGAGGAAGACAATATTACTGAACACCATACGTATTCATCAAGATTGATAAGCCCTCGGTTGTGCACTTGGTGTACTTCCAAGCCAGAACACAATAATAAAGCTACTTCGCCCCCATTCCTGTTTTTCTCTCGTTACGAAACAAAAACATCCTAAGTACTGCTAGCTTCTGTGCCGTCAGATGAGATGTCCATGTTTCAGATATTCCTACAAGATGAGCATTAATAGTATTACTGGGTTTACACAGCTCATCTATTTTATCCGGTAAACTTACGGCGTTCATTTACAAGCAGTGTTTGCTTTCACTTAGAAACGCCTGAGCTTCCCCGTCCTGTTTATCCGTATGAGTCTTATGTGAATGGACAGGTAGCATACCTGCACAGGATTTCCCGAGTTGGTAGCCCCTGTTCTTTCCTCGTTTTTTTTTCATAGCCTTGACGGTCCACAAGAGTAATAGCCAGCCCCAACTTGCCTTTGTGCTTGATTATGGCATCAGTTGGCCTATCCGGGTGCATGTAGATTCCCGTTGCCAACAGACGTCTGTGGGCACGAAATGCTTTGAGAGTCGCAGCCGCCATATGGAGAGATGGGAAGGTTACGGTTATCAACCTGGGTCTAGAATCCTCGTCCTCGTTGACTAGTCTCACCACTTGTTAAGTCAATATGTTTCTGAACTTCAAGGACTGTTTAATGAATTTCGACTCCGGATTATCAGGATTTGTGTGGTCAGGATCCATGTTTTCTGGTATATCTTGTACAATTATATTTCTTCCGCTGAAAAGACTCTCGCGAGATGCCTTATAAATGTTTCGGGTGAGATTGCCCTCAGAATACGGTATGTATGGTAGCATTTTTACATTTTCCATCTGATTTCAGGAAGTGACTAGTTCGTAACACATTCTCTACGTTGGTAGCATTTGTGAGCGTTACATGAAGTAGTCTTGGGGTGAACCGTGATTTTTTTAAGGTTTTCGAGTACGTTCAGTTTGAGAACCTTGTTGTTCGGCGGTTGAAGCGCTCTCCAGATTCCTGTGCTCTCTGCTGACCGGTCGGACAAGCTTCGGGGTAGATTTAACTGCCAAATCACCAATTGATTTCACTACAACACGTGGGATGTTCAACTTCTTAGACGTTGACACCCGGTACTTTTTAACTTTGCTGACTAGGTTGCAGTCACCCACAGAGTTTTAGGAACCACCGTTGCATTCAGGGGTTCTGTGCTCGGATACCCAAGTCTGCTGAGGAAGTCTAGTTCCGTCAATATTATGATGGTACTGAACTTTATCATGTCCTTATCAGTGTCATTTGATGTTGTTGGTTATGTCCATTTTTCAAGAAACCCGAAATGGTTTCTTCACAACACTTTAATTCAACAACTTCAATACAACATATGCATAGTTGGTGTCAGTTCGTGATGAAAACCCTGAGTATGATTCCTAGCCTTAATCATGAACTGTAAATCAAAATTTGAATTCTTCACACAGATTTATAACCCTCATTTGGTCTTAGTTATAATGTTGACTTTCTCAGGGTCACTCTAGCGTCGCTCAAAGGTTGTCCATAAATTATGGTGTCTCCTTTAACCCCAAACCGTAAACCATACCAACATACCAACAACAGTGAAGCTATATGGTCGAGGCTAAAAGAATTTTTGAGACCTTATCATGGCTCCAAGGTCGACTACTATGGAGCCATATGTATGTGTTCCTGTACCGTAATCACTGTGATTTTAGAACTTCTGAACCTATATCTGACCTTGAGAAGTTTACGAGCCCTGTAAAAGAACGGTATACCCTTAACGGTATACCCTTTGTTGAGTTTTGTATAATATATTTTTACTGTATACTAACTGTCTTCTGATTGGCTAATATTTCTCAAGGTCATTTAAGATTCGTTCGTTCAGTATAGTTTAGTCTCGCCCTTTCATACGAAATTTCGAGGACTTTTGATGAAAGAGTTGGATTCCGATCTAAGTTAAACTATTTGATTCAGTATTGTGATGGTGAAGCTAAGGCAACTATTATTCATTATGAATCGCTAGAGCCAGAAGAAGGCTATCGCAAAGCTTTAGAGCCTCTGGAAGAAGTATTCGGTCATAAGCGCAACGTAGCCCATGTATTTATTGATAAGATGCTGAATATCCCTGCTATTAAGGGGAATTATCCAGACAGTTTAAAAAGACTATCTAATGAGATGCATATTTGTGAGCTAACACTCACGCAGATGAACTATGTATCCGATCTTGATTCTACAAAGGCCATTGAATGTATGTTTTTAAAACTCCCACTACACTTACAGAGAGAATGGGTTAAAGTTGCATGTAGGATTCTTAAGACAGGTAGAGAGCCTTCATTCAAGGACCTTTGCGAATTTATGAAGGACAGACACTGCTAATACTAGATATAGATTACTCACAGCCAAAGGCAATCGATTGCTGTTACTAAAAAACCTTGACTAAGAGTATGAAGCAAGAGTGTCGTTTGCTAACACGAGTGGGTCTGATGTCGCTACTCGTAAGACCAAGGACTCTTGGGTTGTCATGTTTATTATGTACTGGAAACCAGCCCTTGGACCAATGTGGAAGGTTTAGAAATAATAATGTCAATGAAAGGATAGAGTTTGT